AAATAAATAAATAAATAACAGTCTTACCTACACAGAATACAACATTCCAATGGCTAAAGACTCTGCATCTTATTTACACATTTAGAGAAACTCATTTTATTCTTACAAGAGCAGTTTCACTGCAGCAAACGATCCTATGAACCCCCTTCAGATAAATTAAAACAATAAAATAAAGTTGTGAAGGACTAGAAATGTGTATTTCCTTTTGAAAGAAGAGGTTTAAATGTACTACGTCTCTATGGGGGTTCCATAGACAAAGAACACATATACATGCTTAATGTTGAACCCCTTCTTAGAAATAAATTCAGAAGAAACCTTCTGAAGCTTCCATATCATAGCGTTGCCCAGAAGCAAAGTCTGTGTCTGGCCTTGGTTGTCAACCATGCTCCTATGAGAGCATCCTCAGAGAATATTCTCAGCTGGATGATCTTCTGAAATACCATTTCATTTTTTTTTAATGGACTGATTTTTCTTAAGTTAAATTTCACTAACTATTGTGAGAAACTTTTGATTCACTGCCCCGTTGGCTATGCCATTTTTTTATGTCCTTGTTCTAGACCAAATTTTGTAAGTTTTTAATGAACGAAAATATGTATTTTAGGGAAGGAATGGGTATAATCAGGCACCTTGGCTACCAACTGCAAAAACAAAACAAAACAGAAAGATGATTTATAGGAAGAAGGAGCAGACTGTAGATCTTACTCTAAAGGGACAGATAAGATTAAGTCTGAAACCGCCCTGGAAGGACAGAGAGACCACATAATTCATTGCATGTCACCCGTGATTTTTGTCATAGTTTAGTCTGTTAAGGGATATAATGTGCAGGACTGTCCAACTCTGGAGAGTCTGATCACTGTCCATTTTCTCTCCTATTTACTATGTTTTTTCTATCGCCAGGCTTTCAAGACACCTCTTCTTTCCTAACTCACCTAGAATGAGATATGGAAATAGAGCCCTGAGAACAAAAGGGAAAGATTAGAGCACGCAGCCCCACCTGTTTGATTCCTGGCTATAGTAAGAAATAAGAGGACCAATGCTCAGTCCTCAAACTCTGCAGGTAGTGCCCTAAAAAGCAGGGAGACATCCACTATGGGAGAAGCCTGGGTAAGTTAGAGATTCTAGAATTTCTGGATCTATGTCTGACCAACCTATATCTTTAACTGTCCCAATACAGAAGCTCACATGCTTCCTTTAGTATCAAAGGACCATTATTAACTCATACACTCAGCACAGTTTATTGCATTGACTAGAGCCACCTTTGGACAGCACTTGTTTTGTCTTTTTTGCTTTCAGTTTCAAATTATGTTGATCAATTATATCAATCCTATGTCCGGATGACCAGGATTTCATATATGGGGAAATATTAAAAGGAGGAGCAAGATATGCCATGTGGTCATATGATAGGCTAGAGCTCCCTCACCCACACTGCTATACATCAGAGACATGTTCATCTAATCACTGAGCTAAAACCACTGGTGATGAACTCCTAGCAGAGGTCACCGAATCACCGAATTTTAAATGAAAATCTGTTAAAAGGCAGAGGTAATCACTGACATAACAAAAATTTATAGCCTTCTTTGAAATTCTCCAATTTCCTACTCTCCCAACACAGTTTAACAAAGAAAATCTTCTTGTTCTATAATGAATTAAAATGTCCTTTGAAAGACAGAATTCAAGGTACAATCATATCACCAGGCTACTAAGTAATTTGCTGCAGATAGAAGGAGATCATTTAGGTTCACCATGATTTCCTCTGCAATGTCCATTTTTGCACATTGGAAATAAATTCAAACAATTCTAAAGGTCTCGGTATTTATTTTTCAAAACAAGGAACGTGATGAACACAAATCCAGTCATTGCCCTAATACTCTCCTAACTCAGTCTAATGGAAACAATTTCAACTGTGAGCTCTTTGTCAATAAGCATTCTGAATAACTACTTTGAGAGAAGGGGAGAGACATGATGGTCTGGGTGTATTTTATTAAACTTTATCAAGAAAGAATGACTGAATTTCATGCCCACCATCTACACATCTAGAGCCTTTTCAAAACCTTGATACCTTTTAATATTTTATGATGTCTACCAACCAGAGAGAGCTGAAATCTTATTCTTAAGGCTACTCTGCCTTTTTGCTGTTCCCTTTTCAGGATGTTCCTCAATACTGACCAAGTAAAACACCAACAGAGGAATTCACAATCCTCTGGTAAGCCACTGCTCAATTAAATGTAGCCAGTGGGCATCTTCCTTAGGGAAACCTGTCTCAGTCATCACCATGGGGTATCGTTGGGTGAGGTACTAAGAAAAGTATAGATTTTTTTTCTTAGTAATTAAAGTATGTGAGGAATTTAAATTGCCTACTGTTTCTGTAGAACAGTATAAACATTAGGTGTGGGTCAGGGCATTTGGACAAATGTACACATGATCTAAAGTACATAAGTATATTGGCTGATTTAATTAATATAAATAACACTGGCAAAGAATAATTAAAATACACAGGAAAAAGACAAAATGATTTAAATGTTGATGAGGAAATATATATATGTAACATATTAATTTTGTATGCGTTTATACATGTGTATGTATATGTATATGTATATATATATATACGTAGTCTGCAAATATGAAGAGACATACAGATAATCAATAAAAAGACACTATTAATAGTAAGAGATTATCACTTATAAAATTAATAGCAAAATGAATCTCTCTTCCTGATTGTTTTCTTAGCATTTAAACCTACTCTAAAATTAGTTTATATTATATTACTTTATCTTTTAGAGGGAATGCCTTTGTTTTCCCGAAGTCAATTCCAAGTTTTATGATTTTAGCAATAATTATTAAAATATTAATCAACAAATGGTTTCTTTTCTCTGCTATAGGTTAGAGATCTCTTGCTCAGAGTAATTTCCCATCATATTATTTCTATGGGAATTAATTACTCATCCTTGGAAATTAGGTTTACATTACAAATCTCTATCTCAATTTTTTTTTATTTATTGCAGATCACTTGTATTAAAAACGTTTTTATGCTAAATCTAAACTTCACTTACTAACCTGTATATCGAATCTTGAATCCTTTTTTACTGGTTGCATGATCAGTGGACCAGCGGAGATACACCTGATTGCTCTGGCTTGTAAAATTTGATTGTTCAGTGTGGTTCCCACTTAAGACCACTAACAGAGGACTCTGACCAGAAGAACCTAAATAAAACAGAAAAACAAAACAAAACAATAGTTCAGATATGAGTTAGCACCTACATTATGCAGACCACTTTTAGCTTTTTATTACATTTAGGAGTCTAAATGCACTATAGATATTTCTTTCCAAAGTAGACAGTTCCAAATGAATAAAGCAACAAATATATCCCCTGACTAAAAAACAAACAAAAAAACAATAGTCAGTCAAAATAATTTCACATAAACATATAATACATAGATAATATGAAATAAATGAAACTAATCTTTATCATCATTAATATGGACAATATTGTAAGAGTATGGGGAAATACAGACTTTCATGTGGTACCGGTAGAAGGATAAATTAGTATAATCACTTTGGAGAGCAATTCAATAAATCCAGTACAACTGAGGGTTTCTTTTTTTTTTTTTTTAAAGATTTATTTATTTATTTATTTGAGAGAGAGAGAGAGAAACAGCATGAGAGGGGATAGGGTCAGAGGGAGAAGCAGGCTCCCCGCCGAGCCGGGAGCCGGATGTGGGACTCGATCCCAAGACTCTGGGATCATTACCTGAGCCGAAGGCAGACGCTTAACGACTGAGCCACCCAGGCGCCCGCAACTGAGGGTTTCATTATATTTCTATAAACTTCAGCACATGTGCACCAGTGTTACTTATATAGCCAAATGTTTGCTCCAGCTTTGCTTTGGTACATCCAAACCTAGATCCTAACTAGTATTTTGGCATTTTAGAAAAGAATGGAAAGTGCCATGAAAAGGAATTCTATACACATTTTAAATTAATGAACTAGATAAACACTTATTGGCATAGATGACTCTTAAAACAGCATGTTGACCACTGAAGAAATCTAACTGCAGATAAATATGATAGCAATTGTGTAAAAGTTCAAAATTATGCCATATATAAATTATGTGTGTGTGTGCATGGATAGATAGGACATGATAGAGACAGAGATACATAGTTACATGATAGAGAGAGACAGATGGACAGACAGAGAGAGAAAAGGAACCATGAAACAAGTGGGACCCACCAAACCAGTCCCCTTCAGTACTATTTCCTTCTAGGAGAGGTCATGTGGTACTGCATATGGGTGGAGCCCCCAAATGTCTCGGTACTCCTTGCCTCTTTAAAAAACCAGAGCCTAAGGTAAATTGGACCAAATCCTAAAATTCACTACATCAAGTAATGAGTCCACATCTGTATTTTAAAATTTTTTCAACTTTTCGTACATTTGAAAATTTTAAAAACTCAAGGCACAAAGTCAACCTCGAATAGACAGTTCATAGGAGCAGGTGCAGCATGCCATCAACTGACATGACTTGTTGCCATGACTTGATGTCCCTTACTGAGGGGAACTGCTTTCTTGAACACAGAAGCTGCAGTCACCTTTCCTGGCTGTCATCCACAGCACCACTCTGCTGGTGAACTCAGCGCCACCTCACAGCCTGACGTCTTTGTGGCTTTTCCACATCATGCAGCTCCCTCCAGGGAAGCACATGATGGGGTGGGAGAATGTGGTCCTCACAGCTAGATGCAGTGCACATCTTATCGGCTTATGGGACTCGCTTTGAGAGTTGTATGTAGGATTTGTACTCATGCAAAGTGGCCGAGAAACCACAACTTCACTTATTGTGTAACCCCAATCAGAGCAGTTAAAACTATTTAAGAACAAAAACAAACCAAAATAACATGGAATTGTGTTACTACAAATGTATATGATGAAGTTATACCTGTCAGTACCTCAGAGTGTGACTGTATTTGGAGATAAGGTCTTTAAAGAGATAATTAAAGTTAAGCGAGGAACCTGGAATGAACCCTAATCCGGTAGGACTGGAGCCTTGCACAAAGAAGAGATCAGGACACAGACACACACTGAGGGGCAGCCACATAAGGATGTGAGGAGAGATGAGACTTCAGAGAATCCAGCCCTGCCCACACCTGCAACCCGGACTTCCCACCCCCGGGCCTGGGAGGAAATTCATTTCCATTGTTGAAGCCCCCCACCTTGGTACTTTGGGATGGCAGCCCTAGTCATCAAATACAAAAAAACTAGTACATTAGAGATGATCCAGGCAATGTTCAGTTTCGCTGGAGCAAAGTAGGATCAGATGAAATGCTACTTCTCAGTTTCCTGGAAGATGTCCCATAAAAGGATGACCGTATTTTATAATTAAAGAAGACTAAGTGTTTTGGGTGTGCGTTTTCTTGTTGTTGTTGTTGTCTAAAGAGATGATATATATTCTAAAATAAAATACCATAGGGAAATTAACCTGCACTTATGAAGTTTTAAAATGTCACTTTTCATGACAGAACTCAAGAGTAAAGCTTCAGGTATTCTTAATCCAGCAACTAATTCTTCATCACTTTCTATCTGTTCTTTTTGCCTAACATGTAACAAGCTTCCTCAAGGACTTTTCTTTAAAAATACACATCCAAAACAGCACGTGTAGAAGACTTAGAGAGCCTTAACAGAGAGTAGCCATTTCTACACCAACATGGAAACCATGAAGTATTTTACAAGTGAACACCACAATCTTTATGTTGACACCTTTCTCAATTGAGTTCTATAATGATTCAATTCTTTTGTTTACTTACTATTTTTTTTAATCAAGGAATATTCACTACTAGAGCTGCAGACAGGAATATACTCCTGGGATAATAAAGTTTAAAATCAATATTTTCAACATGGTTTTTGGCAACTCATGAGCTACAAAAGAACCACTATTTTACAGAAGACAGAGAGGTGCGATAAACATGACACTTCATGCAACAAAAATGCTGACTTAATAAAATATTCATGTAAAATTGTGCCCTTTCATTTTATAGACAAATCTTTGAGGCTAGAACAAAGCTAACCATGGATCTCTGGTAATTTTAACAGCAAGTGCTTTGATATTATCTCTATTACCTACTTTGTAGTAGATAATGGGTATGATCCACCCATATTTTTGGGAGATCAAACTGTAAGCACCTAGGAATAAATACTGGTAATGACTCTGCTGTGTAATTGGAAGTGGGAGAAACTGTCAGCTAAATTCCAATCTGACTAAGGTGAACCAAGGGAACATGAACACATTTACAGCAATTATGTAAATACATTTAATTACATACAGTGTGTATAGGAATATGTATGCACACACACACACACACACACACATAGCCCCAGAAGTGGGCTGCTCACCTACTTTAGTTTTGTATGTCATCTAATTGACCTCGGAATTGAGTTTAACTGGTTCCTCATTGACATAAGAATACCATTTTTGTACTTGGCTAATAAATTACTTCTTTCCATCCTAAAGACTACAGAAAAAGTCTTTAGCAGTCCATGCCTGCTTTAACATACACTTAAAAAAAAAAAAAAACACTCTGAAAATGAAAATATTGCTCCTCAGCCCTCTGTTTCTATGTCTATAAGTGTGAGTTTAATTTCCAATTTAGTAGCTCGTCATCTTAGGAAATACATAAATTGATTCATGTGGTGTCTATCCATATGAACAACTTGACTATTATGATTCATCAAGGAAGTAGAAGGCATAGAGACACACATAGAATCAATTACAGTAATTTTTTTTTACTGAGTTGATTATTTTACTGAACACAATGACAAGTCCATCAAAACATGCAAAAGCCTTATTATTATGTACAGCCATAATTGTATCTTGGTCTAATTTTCTGGGCTATGATAATGCTTCTATACAAAGAAAAATATTAACATCATCTACATTTCAAATTGACAATTCAACTACATACTACTTTTAAGCATGGCATTGTTCTAGTAATAAGTTTGTTAGAAATATGTAAAAATATATAAGACTAGAGTTGAAAACAGTACTAACATTCGGTAAGTGCATTGTACTATTTTTTAAAAGATTGCACGTTAAAGACTTCTGTAGCATTTATCATCCAGAAATCTCTGTGAGCCATTATTTTTATATAGTTCTAGTAAAATAATTGTTTAAATGATTAAAGTACCTTTAGCTCTCTTAAATTTCCTAAAATACCTTCTGAATCAATAGAATACTTAGAAAGGAAGAGCTGCATGAGGTCATCTATTCTAAATCCCCACATGAGAGAATTAAATAATGGTTCAAGTTAATTCAGGACATTTTCAGAATGCATTGCTAGCATATTAATCGCTTAAAAGTTGAAACATTAACAAAAGTATGTTCATGTTGCACAGACTCTTGAGACTACACAAGTGCAAGAATAATTCATTTTCTGTTTGGGGGAGATATAATTTATCTCAAGAATATATGAAAGTCCTTGTGTAACAAAAATGTCATGATGGTGTTTTTATTACACTATGTAGAGGTCACTGGTAGGTAAAAAAAAAAAAGAAAGGAGTAAAGAAACTTACCATCAAACACTTCCAGTGCATCAAATTGCTTTTCACTTTGAAATGTATCCACAAAGATGGTGATGTTATAGTTTGGTTCCACTTTAATACTCCACGAGCATGTCTGGGAGTTAAAATAGTTGCCTGGGTAACCTGGACTGAGGATAATGCCAGAAGATTCTGTCCGGACTTCATTTGCGGGGCATTGTGCTAATGAGAAAAATACCGGTAAAAGTCTTCCTTAACAAAATGAACCTGACATCAATAGGAGAGTTTCTATCCCTGTATTTATAAGCCAATGGCGGTAAAGGGGGAACAATCCTACTGAACTATGACCAAATTTAATACAGGGTACAAACCCAGCAGAACAGCACTAAATAATAACGAGTCACATTTTACTACCACCCTATAATTTAAATGAGAATTACATACATATATATGTGTCGGTATTTAGGGTAACTAGATAGATAGATTGATTAATTTCATTTACTGCTAAGGAAACATAGGGTCAAAGAGATTATGTCACTGACACAACTCTAGGGTAGCCAAACCTGACAAAGCTGCCAAATCGAAAAGAAACCTGGAACCTGAAAGTCTTCTTCATCTGGAAAAGGTGGTGAAGCAATGCACTTGCCCCTGCTGATCCACCCATTGTGAGTGAAGTGGGAAGTACAGATATAGACTGGTTAAAACCATCACGTACCCTTCACTCTGTAGTAACTTTCTAGGACTGAATTGCCCTCACACCTTATTTTAGGGCAGGTACATTGCAGATTTGATCCTAGGATCCCATGTTTTCCCAACTCAACTATAAAGCAAGACCTCACCTTTTCAATGTAATATTACAACATTGTGCAATTATATACAGTAATAGAAACAATGCATTTATTTCTGCCTTTGATTATAGTTTTAATTATATTTAGGACAGTAAATTTTAAGTATTTGATTTGATTACTTGGGACTGTGATAAGAGATGAGCCAGAGAGACCTGGGCTGAAAGCCATATTGGACCTCTGCGTTCTTATAATGTCAAGTAAGAGTAGTGATTTCTAAAGGATGAATTTATCATAATGAATCATTTATCAATTTATCATTATGAATGAATCATTAAGATAGTGTGGACACACTGACATACTTTTTTCCCTCCTGCTTTCCTTTTTTTCTTTATTCAACTACTTCTAAGGTAATCAAAATAAAACTGATCTGCATAGGTATGAACATGCAAAAGAAAACCACCAGTCTCCTAATTAGTAATTTATTTCATTGATAATTTAATTATCTTTCAGAAATAATTTATTTATACAACTATTAAGAAAAAAATATATCATCTATTGATAATGATTCAAAATTTAACAGAGATATAGCAAAACTATTTTTAAATTTTAAAGTTAAATGATCAGCTTTTCCTTCATGGAAAAGGACTTTCGTTAGAGGAAATGTGTCTTATTTGTTGAATTGCCTCCTTTTAATTAATTAAATTTATATTATTAATACATACATTTTGAAATAATTTCCCAGATAGGCAAAGTTTATATAATATACAAAAGTTTTGATTCAAGTAACTACCTATTAAAAGGCAATTTTTCCTTTTTTTTTCTTTCATTTACCTTAGTGCTCTTATTCAGATGTACCTTAAAATTTAGAAAATGTTTAGGCATTAGATTACCAATGAGGAAACATTTCATAGAACCCTTTTAATAAAGAAGTATTTTAGGTAGATTTTTAAGAATATTTACAATGTTAATTAATGGTAAGTTATATAAAAAAATAATTCAAACCAAAACACTCAGACTAAAGCAATTTGTTTTAGAAAGTAATTTCTTCTGTGATGGGTGGTAAGATCACTCCATGAAATATATTATGCCCTTTCAAAAATGAACATATTGGCATTTTTTTAAGAGAACACAATAAAAGAAAATTAGCCTTTCTATCTGGATGCATATGTGCAGGGCCTCGGGTTTTAGAATGTCCACGGACCTGCCTTGACTTCGCAGTGAGAGCCAGAGCGTTTCTCTGCTCTGATGTAACCAGAGGGCAATAAAGCTACTTGTCAGGGTCATGATTAGATAAATATACACAAACACTTTCCTTCATTCGGAAGCACTATACGGGCAGCAGGTGCTTCAACACCTGCCATGCACTGACCACCTGCCTGCCTCCTCCTGACTCAAGATGCTGCTGCCCCAGCACATTTCATTCTGTGCTATTACACTTGAGAAATGTTTAGCCCAAATCTCCCCCATCTGATTTCATCACGGCCACTATCGTTATTAAGCAACACTGGAAGTTCAGATCATCTAGAGACAGGAAACTGTCCGCTAAGTTGCTGAAATCCACCCGCAGTGCTGGAGTGCATGCCAGAGTTGGAAAGGTGTGAGTGGTGATGAATCAGAAGCAAAATCTCAAGCATGGCTATTTTTATTCCCTCTATTTTCCTCAAAATGCTGCTTCTGTTGCTTAGAGAAGATGCAATGAAAATATAAGTGAAATTATATGTTTCCTTTTTCTTACAACAAACACGTAATATTTTTTTTCCAGAGGTACATATTGTTTTAAAATGCACTTGAGTATGTCTCCCTGGGAGCTAACGTGTTTTTGATTCATTTGTGCCTCTTGCTCGTTCTTATGTGCCTATTCCTTCCGGTCCCTTTCCATAAACTGTTGCTAGGAGCAACACCCACCCTCAGTGGGAAGGTTTCGGAGACAGCAGGCTCTCCCAGAGCTGGGCTGTTCATTTCTCTATCAGCACTCACACTTTAAACACAGCTTGCGTCTCTGCAGGGGACACTGGATACCTCCCGCTATGGGAAGCATCTGTTTGAGGTTCCCATCAAAGACACCTCTGAAATGCCTCTCTCAGACATTCACCTGAGTTTTGAGTCACCACACCTCCACACAAAGCTATTCCTTTAGCTTATTTTTGAAGAAAAATGAAATGTGAGGCTTAAAACCAAAGCATATTATTTAATGCATCTTGCAGGGTTTCAGCAAAAGTAATGCAGTCAAACACTGGGATTTATAAATAATTAAAACTAATTCTTAAAAGCACCTATAGGTCCCAGAGAATTGTGAAAAGAGAACTCTAAAAACAGATGGGAAAACTGTCCCCTGGAGCCCTTGAGGTGTGTGTTACGGTCATGCTTGAGCTTTCCAAGAAGTGCTCATTATTTGAAGGGCACTGGTTGTCTTTGGTGTTCACTGAAAATGTATGTTTCTTATTTTTCTTAAGAAATTGATTGATTAGCTGTATAAAAATTCTTACACTCCAATTCCAGGGCCCAGAAGATCCGGTGCTGAAACCTCTTCCAGACCCTGTACCCTGTACCTCTTCATCTGACTGTTCATCTGCACCCCTTATATAATAAATGGTACAGATTAGAATTCGTTACAATACTATACTTACAATGTTAAATGTAAGTAAATGCTTCCCTACGTTACGTGAGCTCTTCTAGCATAGGATAAAATCCAAAGAGGGGACCATGAGTGCTCCTGATCTATAGCAGGTCAGTCAGAAGCACAAGTGACAACTGGCTTTGTGACTGGCCTCCGAAATGGGAGCCGTCTTTTAGGACTGAGCCCTTAACCTGTGGGGTCGGACACTATCTCCAGGTAGAGAGTGTCAGAATTGGTTTCAACGGCAGGGCACTCAGCCCAGGTTTGGAGAGAATGGGAGAATTGCTTGGTGGTGTTGGAAGACATTCCAGACCCTCATTCAGTGTTTTCTAAATTAAGATGAGCATCCAACTAGGTATATTGGCATAGGATGCTAACTTTTAAGGAACAATTTGCTCTCATTGTTCCCAAGGAACAATCAATCACCCTAAAAATGGTGACAATTTTCAAAGCAGAACTTAGTAGGACTCATAACTCACATAATTTTCCAGCAGTAATTTATCAGGGGATTGCCCACTCCCTCCCCTTGAGCCCAACCAAATAATAGAAAGTACTGGAAGAAAGATTATCATTAAATGATTATTTGATAAAAGACATCTGAGCCCCTAGTTCCTTTTCTTAAAGAATGTATTTAGGGAATGGCAGCTAAGATGACTCTGTTTGACTTAAACATATTTACTCCTGAATGGAAACAGGAGAGAACTATGTTGTCCTCTGTAGTAACTGCTGGGAGTTCAGGAGGACATGGGAACCTTGGTCTGAGTAGAGAGAATGTGTCTTGTTAGCAGAATCCTCCCTGCAACCCTGTGTGAGAGCCAAGTAATTTAGAGAATGATGCTCATGTTGTGCTGATTTACTCTGTTCCCGGACTGTCATGAATTAATTTCATTTAAATAAAAACAAGGTTAATCTTGGGGATAGCCAACATAATAAAGTAATTTTCCCTCTCTTTGAAGTAGCATATTTAATAAATATGTATGCCTTTCTTCACTATTCAGCTAAGACCACCCTTGCCTGAAATCATCTATGCTGAGAAATTTAAGTCTCTGTTTGTTGGAATTAAGATGTGCCCTAAAAATGTGAAGTTTTACCTCGGGTAATTTTTATGTCAAATGGAAAAAGATGAACATTTTATATCCCCTTGCACCTTGAGGCAAAAAATCCACTGTAGATGGTTGTTGCTGATGTGACTTGGTACACACACACTGATTTTTCCAAAAAGGAATGACTCAGTCTCTTGACTTAGCACCCCGTGCGGTACCCCAGCTTTGAGTGAGGCAGGTGTGAGGCAGAGTGTCAGTGACTTCCAGAAATGCGTGGGTCCTCTGAGCAGTTAACGGAGCCAGCGGACCAAACGGGGTATACTCCTGAGAGGGTGGTCTTTGCCCACACCCATCTGCGCTCCCAGAGCTACAATTTGAAAGTAATGTTTCTTAGAATTAGTCTGAGTTATCACGGTTATTTAAGACTACTGCATTCCAGATATTCTTCAGATGTTGGAATTGTCTCCTTCTCCCCGGGTGACTAGGATTCTGCTTCATTCATAATGAGAATGCAGGAAGTGAGCACACATTCTAAACTAATCGATTCAAGGGTGGGAACACTTGCAAAGTCAATACTAGTGCAATACAAAGGAAGTTGCCTCTTAATAGGGCAGATAATCAACATTAGAAAACACATAGAATAATTCATTTAATATTCTCTGCATCTTTACAAAAGTCCCCTAAATAAGGTAGATCAACCACCCTCCTTACACTCGATGCCCAGGGGATTAATGATTTACCTGCGGTTACTTGGGAGTCTAGACTAAGTCTCTGGGTCTTCTCTTCCTAAATTTTGGGAACTTTTATGTGCTTCATGATCCCTGATGAATGATAATATTCAAATTCCTTGAAAGGGGGTGAAAAGAGGGTGGTCCCATTCTTTAAATGAATTGAATGTTTATTGTGATTTTGAAGTCACAAAATCAAAACTATTCTAATTTGGAAAACTTTGATTGACCAAACCATGACACTTCTGTCTTATATTGAGCCATTTTAGCTTATTTATATGTTTTCCAGCTTTTTTTTTCTCCCAATACTACTTGAGAGTGGAGACTTTCAAATATTTTTAAAGTGATCTAATTTTACTCCAATCAGTTGAATCAATAGATTCAATATCAAATCTTGTGCTATTGTATATTTTCTGTTATTGCATATGCTCTATGTATTTTAAAGACATGTGAATATATGAAATATGTGCATCTTATTGTATGCAACCTATGTGCATTTCAATGATAAATTTTACAGAAAAAATAGTAAACACTAGATAATTTTATGCATACTAATGTATTTAGAGGGAAGTGTAGTGATGCCTGTAATTTTCCTTGAAATGCATCAAAAGTAACAGATTACTGGATGGATGGAAAGATAACAGACACATGACTAAGGATATATATATATAGTAATTAACGGTGGAACCTAGGTGGTAGGTATTCAGATGGTTATTTCTAAATTATTTCAACTTAGACATATGTTTGAAAATTTCCTGGTAAAGTTTCGGGAAAAAAGAAAAAAAGACCTCTTATTTGATATACTTTTGATTTGTATTGTAGAGATAACTAAAGGAGAAAGGTTATTAGGTATTTCTGTTAGCAGGTAATCTTATTGCACAGATTCAATTCAGAGCTATACAAGAAACACATAGACCAACACGAGTCATACAATTTTCCATGATGAACAAGCATGTGTGTAGCACCAAGCTGTGCATACCTTCACACGTTGGGAGAGAACCTTCAAACTGCAACTGGGCACTGAGCTTGCAGGTCAGTGTGTCCATCCCAGACAGCGTGTACCCCGGATGGCACTGGTACTTCACAAAATCCCCTGAAAGAGCCAACACAGCACACCTGGGATGATGTTCCCATGACCCACAGAGTGTGTGAACGTAGGGAACGTAGAGATGACCACCTACCAAATGAAGTCAGTGAGCAAACCACTTCTGAACCCACATCGGTGTTCAACTTTAGTTTGTTTAATCAAAGGAGACTATTTTCACTTCTTGACTTATAAAAATGCTGTCTTCACTGATACCAGCACAGATTATGTGGCAGGTTTTTTCATAGACTGATGTGTCTATGGTCCCGCCCCTTCCCCCAGGATTACAATTCCAAAAAAGAAGGCAAATTGGGATTGCTTGGGATTTAAGGATGTAGCATAGAATGGCTTTAATGCACCCAGAGAGGGCTAACCTGTGACCTTGGCCTAGTTAGCACAATGTTCCCATTAACAGAGCCATTATGAGTAGAGCAGAAATTGGGTCATGTGGTTTGACCAGTGGTCTGAAACATGGGGTGAGAACAGAGCGCTGTATTTGTAGCCGAGACAGAAAAATCCCGGGTCAAGGTAATTATACCACAGACATATGCCCTGGCTAGTGCCTGATGATTATTTAATGAAACTCCCATTAATATAGAACAATAAAGCAGAATTTCTAAATATTATCATTACTTATACTCACCAATTACATCCCAGTTTCAATGAAAGGTCAAAGTTTTACTCATCATTATTTTAGCTACAAATGATTAAGTCCTTCTAGTGCATGAACATGCTTTTCTAACTAAACACAAATATCGGGGCGCCTGGGTGGCTCAGTCGTTAAGCGACTGCCTTCGGCTCAGGTCCTGATCCCAGGTCCTGGGGTTGAGTCTTGCATAGGGCTCCTTGCTCAGCAAGGAGCCTGCTTCTCCCTCTGCCTGCAGCTCCCCCTGCTTGTGCTCTCTCTCTCTCCCTGAAAAAAAAAAAAAAAAAAATCTTAAAAAAAAAAAAAAGTCTAGGGGCACCTGGGTGGCTCAGTTGTTAAGCGACTGCCTTCGGCTCGGGTCATGATCTCAGGGTCCTGGGATCGAGCCCCTCATCGGGCTCCCTGCTCGGCGGGAAGCCTGCTTCTCCCTCTCCCACTCCCCCTGCTTGTACTCCCTCTCTCACTGTCTCTCTCTCTGTCAAATAAATAAATAAAATCTTTTAAAAAAATAAAATAAACACAAATATCCATTTAAGTCTGTCCCTGAAAACTTTATTTAAAAGAAAAATACAAGCTAGCAAATGCTTGTGGGAGGGGGGCAGGGGTGGGTGAGGTGACGATGTGCTTAAAATGACAGAAGCAAAGCTCAAATGGCAAAAAACAAACATAATGGAGATGGAGGAAGAAAAACATATTTGTTTGATATATGAACTCCCTAGCAACGCTTTAGAATATTCTGAAAAATACTTATTTACTCATGTGAGTAACTACTGCAGTGAGGGGTGGGTGTTAAAAAAGTTGGGTTGAGCTAATGGTATTGTAACAAAGAACACATTACCTATTTCAAAATCCTCATCCTCCATAAGCATTTCTGCCTGTGGAACTGCGGGGGGAGGTTGGCATTTCTTCAGCTGAAATGCTAAAGGGTTTATGGAAAAAAAAAAACCTGCAATTACATTTGCTGAATAAACAAAATTATTACAAAAAACATTCTGCTTCTGTTGTTTTAATGCTTAGGTATACTGCAATGTCTCTATTTGTAAATCATTGTTTTATAAAATTCTCAAGCTTACAGGATTATTTCATGCCAAAGAATATATAAAGTCGAAGGGAAAAAGGGTACAGTCTTCAAAATTATGACATTTAAATAAAACCACTTGACATAGTTTGGGGATGCTGGAAGAGAAATGTTCAGCGTGGCCTGGTGCCAGGTCCATATTTACGTTTGCTGAGGTCCCTCCCTGCACCCCATGCTGAGGACTTCCATGGGTGCAGTCTTCAGGAGATAGAAGGGACTGATGCACTTTTCTCCAAATTATTGATTTTCAAAATCAATAATTCCATGGCATTTGCTATGTTGGCTCCTCTGGAGACAGACACAGGAAATCTGGGAAAGGTACTAAATTTATTTCCAGGGCCTCCATATTGGGGTTTCATTTGCAATAAACTTGTCCTGGAATGAGCGCAAGCACACAATCAAATGCCATTAGCAAAAGAGGAGCCTCGCAGGACGCAAGGAAGTCCCAGAAGGCTCTCGCCGGGCAGGAGGCGTATGTCAACACTACCAGGAGAACAAAAAGGAATTCTCCGCCTTAATCGACAAGGTGCGAATGCACTGACCGTGAAAGTTGAGAACAAAGAAGCCTCCATTTGAAAAGTCGCTGTGGAACTTGAGCAGGACTTGGTTGGTGGAGCTGTATGCCGTTTCCAGGGCTGTGTTGCCACTGAAAACTCCCAGCTGAGGTGAATTCTGATCAGGCCCATCCCTAGAAAAAGAGAGAAGTTTGAGGAGAAAGTTCCTAATTACAGCTGAAACTAACAATCATTTTCTTCCGACACGTGGCTTCTATCTTGGCCTGAGCAGCGCGGTCCGAGGCCGGGCTCCAGGGGACCAAGCTGGTGCTCACACCTGGAGACGCGGGGCTGACTTCTACTCGCCCCACTGCGGACCTTTTCATAGCCATCACAGAGACACATTCATCCTGACTCTAGTGACTGTTCACCATGGATCAGCTGCCTTTCATACGTCCATGTTTGAAAGTCTAAATTCAATGGTGTCTCTTTAATTATGGGTGGAATTTATGGAGATCTTGCTACTGAAGTAAAAGGTTTTTAAGAATTTATTAAAAGGAAACGACAGTGCAAAGGTCGAGTCCTGGCCCCAGGATAGCAAAGCAAGACTTAGCTGCACTTTCAACCACTCTTGGAGGGAAAGTTTAAGCCACTCCTCGTTCAGAAATTTTCAGCATCAGTGAGGTCACATGGATGGTCTCCAGCTGAGCTGCCCCGCCCAACATGAGGTAATATGCATAAAGAGACCACCTGCCCTCCCCCCTCAGGGAAGGTGACCTTGCCTGAACCAATCCTCTCTCCTGCTAATAACATCTTGCCCCACCCTGCTTCCTATAAAAACCTTCCATTGTGCATGTGGAACTCCTCAGAGTGTCTCTCTACTGGCCAGATGGAATGTTACCTGATTCATGAACCACTAAATAAAGCCAAAAAGATCTTCAAATTTACTCAGTTGAATTTTTGTGTTTTTAACAAACTGAATAAAATACTACCCTCTTGTGAACACTGCGTTTAGAAATATCAAGATGTTTAATGTCACAAAGTTGACAAGACTTTATGGTCTCTCTCTCCGTTAGTGTTCTGACAATAGACTACTTTGTTAATTATGAAGAGCTTTTGCTTCTGCCTGCTAAATCTATACATTAATCCAGGTGAAACATCTCACAGTACAACGCTGTGGTTTCTGTTTTGCCTTTTGCTTTTGAAAGAGCAGCTTCAGGATCAATTTAATATTTCTCAAGTTCCCCATTCTTCCTCATTCCCTTCGGCCATTATCTCCTCCCTGCAAGAGTTATTTCTACAGCCTCAAAATCCAGCCTCCTTTCTTGCCCTCACTTGATACATTTCCCACAAAAACAAGACTGGGAATTCTTCAGCTAAGGTGATTCCCTTCCCTAAAACCCTAGTGAATCCTCATTGCTCTTAGAGCTAAGCCTGGGATCTTTCACATGATTTATAAGCTTCTGTATTCTCTGTCCCGCTCACCTGGACTCCCATAAGACCCATTCCTGACATCTTCCAATACCCTGAACTCACCCTGTCCCCTTGCTTTGCAGGCTTTCCAGTATCCAGAATGACCCTTAACCTTTACACCAACTTTCTACACCAACTTCCCAATATACACACACATGCATACCACATGGTTACCTGCCATTAGTCCATAGTTTTCGTGGCAATTTATGCTGGCTGCACATCCTGATCTTCAAGCCTGAGTTAAGCTCACCTCCTCACACCCCATCGGTCCTCCCTCCTTCTCCCAACATAGTATCACAGAGGACTTGTCAATCTCTGTGTCCCCTATAACCTCTCACTTCCAAAAGCAAAGGTAGGATAGTCATTCCTATAGACATGAAAATGTAGCCAAGGATCATATAAGTAACTTACCCAAGGCCACATGACTCATTGGAAAGAGAACCAGAACCCAAATCCCCAGCCCTGATTGCTGGCTCAGTACTACTTCCTACACATCATATGGAAGGGCAGCCCTGCCACGTTTACAAAGGATGGCAGGAGGGCTGTGTGTAATTATCTCTTCAATATTTTCAGAAGCACCGAATTCTTATCTCGGCAAAGATTCCTGACCAATTTTTCTTTTAGAAAAAAAAGAAAAATCACACCTAAAAATGTAAAATACAATTATGTTGCAATAATCTACATTCAGAGTAGTCCCAAATTTGTCTACCACATAACAAAACTCAAACATGTCACATGACGTTTATTCTCTATACCGCTAGATTTCATTGGTAAATTTCCTTTCCAATATCTACCTAAAAACGTCACTTCTTAATATGTAATCTGACATAAAAGCCCCATGCCAGTGGGTTGCAAGAATGGTGTAGCACAATCAGATTAGTCTATATGGAAAGAGTCTCCTACCAAACAGCAATGTAATCATTCACAGCTTCTGTCTGTAGCAAGGTGAAGTTGATGTAGACCCCATGGCCAGGAGGGACGGTGATAAGCCAAATGCAGTCCTTCAAAATTGGGTACTCGTCTGGAAATCCAGGGGAATAAATGGTACCGTTCTGAGATGTTACATTATATCCACAAGGAGCTTAAAAGGAAGCAAAGAAAATTATGCCCTTTACAGTCAACTTTGGAAAGGACACAGTTAAATATTTCTAAGTCTCTAAAGTCCCTTTGCCAAAATTTTCCTTATGAGAAATAATTGTGAAATATTTCTCAGTTACTACTTTGTCAAAGTAATTCCCCTGAAGTCTTAAAACCTTAGAAGAATTATACTTCTAAACTAAGTTATCTAAGTTCCATTTAATACATTCTCCAAACACTCAAAATCCCTTCAAGATAAAGTCATTCCCATAAAAAAAAAAAAAAGGCCCTTACTCAGTCACTCAGTTATCTTATGTGACCAAGATGATAATGCATAGTACTCTGTGATATGAGGGATTATGTGGAAATTATGCACATATATCATGGAAATTTTCTTGTTGTTTTATGTGAGATTTCTAAAACCTATTTAAACTGCTAAAAGAGTAGCATCCAAGTCTTTTTGCCTAAAACAAAAATATTATCAATTCTTGGCAGATCTAAACCTGAAGAAATGAGATAAAATTATATATGTGGTGTTTTCTTGAAGCACTTCCTTGTCTCACCAGCTTTCAACTCTGCAAAGACTCACAATCCCTATTCAGCCTGTGTTTATTTTACTTAATGAACTGGTATTCTCTGTTGCCATGGCAATTATTTTGTCTTATCTATGGAAAAATGAAGAGACTATATATTAGCAGAATAATCTGAGATGCATTATTACACTCGGAGAGTGGGAGGATACAACAAAGTCATAAACGAGTAGGCTTTTTAATCAACCAAAATCTGATAGAGGTGGTCTGAGTGCCTGTTACTAGCATGAATCTTCTGGAGCTTTCAAAGACTTGTCATGAAAGGTGTCGAATTTAGGTAGAGAAAACAGGCCAAACTACACTGTAAAACAAGAGAAACAAACGTCTGAATACAAAATAGTGAGCGATGACATGCTATGAGGCGGTATATGGTACGCTGATGTGTTGATCATATAGATGCATACGTATTTCAAAGGAGGTAGAGAATGTTCCAGTGTAAAATAGATTGAACCCGGCCCAGGTTTTGGATAGAGTCATTAGAAGAAGGGGCCGTGGAGAACATTTTAGCAACGTTATGGAATGAGTATTGATAAGTGGGATTTGGAGGCTGCCAAACTTTGCTTTGTAAACTGGCAAAGCACAGGGGCAACTATAATCTGTAAAATGGGGCCATGATCTAGGCTGCAGTCACTGAGTTACTTGTGTGCCCGGAAGATGTCATACTTTCTCTCACCTCCAAACTTTACGCAAATATTCACTCTGCTTGAAAAGTTCAAAGGCTTTTCTCCTACCCTGCTGCCAGGGTGAGTTGATCCGTTTCTTCAAAACTCAACTCAAATGTTACCTCCCCCTTAAAGGCAGCTTGGCTCTGGATGGCCACGTTTGTTCACCTGTCTCATGGCTATAATTGGCTGCCAGCTATTCCCACCATTAGATGGTCAGCGGCTAGAAGTCAGGGACGGTGTTCCTTTTCACCTCTACCCACAACCCACTTTCACGCATCCCCAATGCCTAGCTCATATCACAATAAATAAGAGACAATAAGTAATTGATGAATTAAAAATGAGTAAGAGAGTCACCACAAAATATTTTAGTAATGAATGTACTGAAGCAAGTGGGCTGACACATCTTATGTGGACTTGAGGTTATTCATTTGCTATTGACTTATAATCTATAATCCCCAAGACTTCCCTTGTGCATTTTGACCTTTCAAGTTGAATCTTATAATTGTATAACCACATTATATATAGGAGCACCCTTCCCAATGGTGAAAAAACACAACAAAACAAACAAAAAGGATGGTACCCATCTCTTCAAGGGCAAAAGAAATGATACGGTGATTTTCTTTCGAGGACACATTGCTGGCTTCTGGTGTTCTTTATGTTACTTAATAGCTCTAGGACAGTAAGCATGGCAATCCTTGCCATGATTTATGTATGATATTCAAATAACAAGTCCACCATTTACTTATTCAAGGATTATTCATTGAGAGTCTATCATGGACCAGGACATGTGGGGTTAGAGTGGGAGACAGAGCAGAGAACCACAGAGACCTTTGGATGTTACTGTGTAGTGATGAGAAAGGTACCAAGCAAATGCTAAGTGAGTATAAAAGTCAACTTGTGTAAGTACGGTGAGGGAAAGAACAAACAGCACTGTCACACGAGCTAATAACATTCCACGAATGCACATAAAATTCTTCAAGGCAAATGTTGCTGTGCCGTCTAGAGAGGAGAAAAGAGGATCCTAAGAAAAATGAGAGGAAGTTTCCTTCACCACATCCCCTGACCTGCCTGCGATCCCAGAGAAGGCTTTTCCCTCATTGTTGTGGCCCCACAGGCATATTTAGATTTCCACGTCTGGGGGGAATGTCACTTGAAGTCCACAGAACCTGTGGATGTGGGATCTAACTTGGCATGACGTGGATCCTGAGGTGGAGATCAATCCTGAAGCTGCTCTGAGGGGCATCTAGTCGCAGGAGGATCCGTGCACCACAGCTGAGCGGGCACCTCGAGCTCCTCACTGTGTGCCTGGGAGCCTGGTCACAGTGGGACAAGGAAGCCCACCAGCTGGACAGGACAGAGCCCATCAGCGTACGGTGCGCTACACTTCAGAATCGGAAGGGACATGGGTGTCAGACCCTCCTCCACTTCAGGGAGCCAAAGAGTCAACAGACACATAGTCATTCATATATTCGTGAATGTACACTGTGATATTATGATTTATAATAAGAAATACATATTCGGTCTTCCTCCCTGTTCTTGGCACAGGGCTCGGGAAACCTTGGATAAAAGCTAAGTGATAAAAGAGATAAAGGTATCCTTTGTTATTCATAACAAGACCCTTTCTTTTTTTTTTTTTTTTAAAGATTTTATTTATTTATTTGAGAGAGAGAATGAGAGAGAGCACGAGAGGGAAGAGGGTCAGAG